AAAAAAAAAGAAAATCAACTCTTTGGGAAAACAAATTACATTTTGTACTTCCTGTCTGCTAGAACACAGGGTCCCACCTCAGAAGAGGGACTCCATCCAGATCAGCTTAGCGTCTCGTCCCTGAGCATGAGAGGGTCTCCGCCAACATTATGGGACTGACGGAATGAAAGACACAGAAGAACACAGCATGTCCCACCTCACACCTCAGTTCTGACCCCTCTGGCCAGCAAGGGCTGTGCTGCGGCCGCTGGCAGTGTAGCCAGCATATCCTGGTCCATATCACCCCATGTGGGCCTCCTACCAGGGGTTGGGGTGGTGTCACTGCTCCTGCTTTGCAGATGACGACCCTGAGCACCAAGTCCCCATACACAGTGAGGGACAACTGCGCCTTAGACCCAGCCTTCTGCCCCTCCATGTGCTCACCACAGGCTCTCCTGCCAAGATGAGGCCTACCTCTAGGACTGCCCACTTGTGACTTTAGACACACACAGAGACCCAGAACAGCATGGGATGTGCCACGGACTCCCTGGGGCAGGTGCTCGGAGACCGCAGCTTGGGGGGGATAACACACAACAAAACTGACTTCTTCTCACCAATGCTACAGGGAGACTGTGCTGAGGAAACATCGTCATTCACGGACCTGCTGCTTTGTCCTTTTGCTTAACATTGTGGCGTCCAAGAAACCGTCCAGGATGCTGCTAAGGACCCTGGCACTGGGCAGCCCCTCTCCTCCCGGCCTGTCTCACCACACCCAGGGCCACCCTGACCAACACCAGTTTAAACTGCACAAGTCTACTTACATGCAGGTTTTTTTCAATAAATATGTTGAAAAATTGTAAAGGGATATGTGACAATCTGAAAGAACTTATAAATGAACTAGATAGTCCAGAAATATCAAAAAAAGTTAAGAAAAACATAAGTTGGCTCAGCACCTGTAGATCAAGCAGCTAAGGCACCAGCCACATACATCAGAGCTGGCGGGTTCAAATCTAGCCTGGGCCTGCCAAACAACAACAAAAACTACAACCAAAAAATAGCTGGGCGTTTTGGTGGGCACCTGTAGTCCCAGCTACTTGGGAGGATACTTAAGAGAATTGCTTAAGCTCAAGACTGGGAGGCTACTGTAAGCTGTGACAACACGGCACTCTACCCACGGCAACAGCTTGAGGATCTGTCTCAAAGAAAAGAAAAACGTAAGTCATGAATGCATCAGATACACGCAGACGCCAGTCTACTTTATCATTCACTCCCATAAAATACGCACACATCTATTATAAAAAGTTAAACTCATCAAAACTTATGGATGCAGACACTTGGAGACTGTACGTGGTGCAGTCAGTCAAGGGAAATGGAGACCAACATGAAAATGCATGTCGTGTCACAACCGCGAGACGCCAACGCGCTGTGTGCTGTGATGACATCACACCACCGCCCACTGCTGCTGTGGGGAGCTCAGTGTTGAGAGCACCCACCTAAAGGAGTGTGTGACACTGATCAGTGGTGCCAGCAGTTTGTCTGCAGCAGACGGCACCTCACAGTAAAAGCTGACCTGGGCTTTTTCATAGTGTCAGTGCAATGCCATAAACCTTGACTAACATCGGGGGACCCCAACAAGGCACAACTAGTGATGCTGAAGTGCTTCCAGGAAGCAGAAAAAAGCCTCAGCGCCAGGAGAGCACGCAGGCTGCCCAACGTGCACCGGGGAGTGAGGTCTGCACTGCTGCCGTTCACGACAAGTCAGTCCAGTCTAAGGACCATAGTGAAGCCCTTGCTGCGGCTATGCCAGCAGGCATGACCACTGCACTTTTTGAGAAATACCATTAAACCAGGCATTGAAAATACAGGTATTACTTGGATGCAGATTAGCATAGGAAAGGCAGTGCACAGGCTTTAATATGACTGAGAAAAAGTCACCATACTATGTATGACAACCTCAAGCAAATGAAAGGTTAAGTTGTAAACCTGGAGAATTTAATGCCAGCAAAGGTAGGTTTGACAATTTTAGAAAGAGGTTTACTTTTTTTTTTTTTTTTTGAGACAGAGTCTCACTTTATCACCCTTGATAGAGTGCCATGGTGTCACAGCTCACAGCAACCTCCAACTCCTGGGCTTAGGCAACTCTCTTGCCTCAGCCTCCCGAGTACCTCGGACTACAGGCGCCTGCCACAACGCCGAGCTATTTTTTTGTTGCAGTTTGGCCAGGGCTGGGTTTGAACCTGCCACCCCTGGTCTATGGGGCTGACGCCCTATCCACTGAACCACAGGCACTGCCCTGAAAGAGGTTTATTTTTCAAAGCTTCAATATAACAGAAGTAGCTTCTGCTGACTGAGGCAGATGAGTTCCCAGATGCCTCTAAGAAAGTCACTGAGAGGGAAGGACATCTGCACAACCAGGTTTTAATGCAGATCAAAGTGCCTTATTAAAAAA